GCATTTTTTGACAAACGACCGCTCGAGCAATACTTCCACTTTTTAGTGAACTGGAAATTTGCACTTCGTCAAAAAATTTACATTTGTTATTTCTTCACAAACGATCTTTTACCGAAAAAACGACCGGACTTCATGCAAGCAACCGGTAATCACTACCTGGATGTCCGTGCGGCTCTATAATGCACCACCTTCATTCCAACTGAAGCTCTTCCTCCTGCATGCCAGAAGGGATCAAAGCACGGCCACTATTAGCCCAATTGTTAGGCTGCAACGTAGGGATCATTTCTGCTGATAGCGATCTGCGAATTTAGTGCAAAAACGCATGACCGCACCAGAGAGCCTGGTGCGTCCCAGCCTGGGTTTAAAAATGCCAGCATTTACCGAAACAACCGGGCTTCGTGCATCTCGGCTTTTTCTCGATTTTGCGGCATAAAATTCAACAAAACTAATTCAATACCAGTGGAATCTAGAATATGACTTCAGTTTATTATTGCTGCATTATATGCTGGTTCAGTCCAAATAGTGATGGATCAGACTCGCCGGTGAGAGCATATATTTATGCGTTAAAAGTGAAGCAGTAGGTCACTGTGTTACGCTAACATTGTGAATAGTTGTTGCGTTACATTTTAATACGTATACTCATATTGGCTATCTTTTGGCATTTTCTTACACTTAGGGAGAAAAGGGCGTCAATTGGGACGGTATGTTGAGCCAGCGGGCCGCCTGAAGTCTTAGCTTTCAGCGTGCATGATTGCCAAAATTTATTTAGTGATCAGTCGTTCAACGAAAAATTCAAATTACAGAATGAACAGGATGTCGATAGTGAGAAGGGTGGCGAAACTCGCAAATGCAATCATTTTTGAGGTTGCGATGAAATTACGTACTTTTCATGCCATGTGCAGAGAATTTAGCCTCCAGTCTGAATTATCGCACTTGAATAGAAAATACCTTTGTAAAATTTTAGCTTTTTAGCTTGCTCGGTTTCCGAAATAGCTGATTTCTTACAAATATCTTTGAAGCATTCTAATGGGTGGCGCAAGTAGAATTCGAATCCTTATTTAAGTATACTAATCCCCTGATGAATGATAAATATTCTGGCAAAGACACAGCTATCGTCTTCCAGCTAGTTCTGGAGTTGGCGCGGTGCCAGGCATGGACTTTGACGAGACAGTATGTGTGACAGAAACGTGAATTATGGTTGAATTTGAAAACGTTAGTTCATGCATGGACAGGGATTACGACTGAAATTTCAGCCGTCTAGCTTGTCTGATTCTCGAAATGCGTCTTCGCGCCAAAAATTTTGCAAGCTTTTTTCCGTGTCTGCATGTGACATTCAAGCGTGCGAGAGCGATGATTTCAGATTGTAAGAATGACACGTATAGCGGGGATACATTCTTAAAATTTAGGCTTCCTGGTTTCTCCGATGCTGGAGTTGAAACTGAGTAACAAAGTTCGCACACGCATAACAAACACTCACAGACCGAAACCTCTTGGCAGTATGTGTTTTTGCGTTCGCATAAGATGCAAAAACGCATAAAAATTGAGGAGCCAAATTAATAGGCTTGTGTAACAGTGAACCTCTAAATTAGCTGGAATTTGGAAGCTGAAATAAACGGAGATGGAGTAAAGTTTCAAACAACTGATTTTAAACTATTCAGGCTGCTCTACCTAGCGGGTAAGTCTGCAAAACCTTCAGTTTTTCACTTATCATATTTCTGAGTTACGAAATTAACCAAGTTTGAGTCTACTACCATGAATCACACTACAAAGATCTGCTCACTGTGCTCCTGCACACACTAAGAATAGTCACAAAATTCTCTTCTTATTTCACTTTCACTGAGACGCGCAGGCACTAGGAAGTAACCCGAGTGATAGCAAATACAAACAGAAACCATCCGCTAACAAAGTTTTCGATGGCTAGCACAGGATAGTATCAATTTTCCATCGAAACGAATCGTAGAAAAATTGCTTGTCTTAATGGCAGAGTCGAACCTTTGACCTGCTGCACGATAATAGTGCTACTCTACTGCGCCATGCCTTGACTTGTGAGCTAAATTTCTAAATCTGGAGTAACTGCCCGAAGTATGCAAACGCAAATATATTCTCGGCATGTTACGGTTTTAACATTCATGCGAAAATATATAACAATCAGTAGAAAACAAAAAAAAAACATCCACTTTAAAGAAAATTGATTTGACATACCCTCAGTGGATCGGCTTATGTAACTCAGTAAACGGCACATTTCCAATGTTCATACCAATTGGAAAACAGTCAAGCAGCGATTGAACAGCGACATACTTTTGATCGCTGACACAGAAAGCATTCTTTAGAAAAAAAAATAACGTGGTTGATGTAATTTGAGTGGATAAGACCAGTTACCGCAATCTTTTTGGAGGACACTGGCAAACACTTTTTTATTCAGTGATGTTATTTCAAAGATAATCAGTCAGAAACTTTCCAAGCAAACACCAAAAGTACCCAAGTTCATAAAACTAGAGAAAAATGGTCCAGTACTTACTGAAGTAACAAGATTCTGAATAAAAGAGAGCCGGGCACATTTCTCCGTACGCGGCTTTCCTAAATGCCATAAGAGAACATAATATCATTGAAATGAATCCATTCGTTATATTGCAATTTTGCAAAATGAACAAAATTAAGAAAAAAAATTTAACAAAGTTAGCCAGTGTTGTCAGTGATGGTTATTGGAATCATTCATATAACGCAGCCTCGCACTGTGCGCCATCGCATTTAATCTGACCTAATTGCTATGTTGTCGAAACGTACACAGCAAAAACTGATTTTTTGAAATTACTTTTCCTATGAATTTTGTTGTGATTTACCGCATTTTAACGGATTTTTTCATTTGTCTTTTTTCGTGTACTTTCTTATGTTTACAACTGGAGAAAAAATGAGGTAAGTAAGCTCTTTTCCATGAATGCGTTGCTGAATTTTCAATTTTTAAAAAGAGTACAAACGCTTTAGCATCTGTCTTCACATGCTCATCGTGTTACTAATTGTATTTTTTTTGGCGACGGTAAACGGAGAGGTAGCGGTTTGTTTTTCATGTGTTGGTAATTTATTCCCTAGAAACACTTTCATTGAGAGGAAAATCCTGATTGCAATGCAATATTGTTGCCAATCGAGAACGTCTGATTTGCAAATGCTAGTGATGATTGTATGAAAAATCTCCCGAAATACTTTTCTAATCACTTTGCTGAGCACAAGTCTCGCTGGCAGGCTTGCACTCTGCCGCTTCAATTGAACGAGGCAAGGAAATGGTTTACAAACTTGACAAAACGTAATTTACAGAAACAAAAAATGCTTTAGTTAATGCTACACATGAACGCCTTTGTTTATTATAGAGAGGTTGAATAAGATTGTTCTGGGCTTGGGCAATTAAGACGTATCACTAGGCTGATATTGCTTTTGAGCTTTCACGCAAACAGCTGAAACAAGTTTATCATTTATACAAAGACTCGAGATAGTAAACACATGGGCAAAATTGCGTTGCCTCGTATTTTGTTCAGAACAGTGCTAAAAGGTGTTTTTGAAACTTATTTAAGTCCTAGCCAGCAGTGCGGCCTTTTACTTTTAAACTGCTTACTGTCGCGCATTTTACTAATGTTGAGGACCAAACTGGTGCTTTCTAAGTTACTCTTTCTCTCCAAAGTTTTTTCTCATTTTCTACGCTTCAAATAACTGGTAGGTTAAATGTGCCCTAACATGGGATTAACTAAACACTGTAGGCGAAAAATATAGTGAAACCCATTTTCCTGTTGAATTAATCAAAGGCGAAAACGCTTTCGGTGAAAAAATATGGATCGATAAATATGCTGGGGACCACACCGCCGGTGATAACACATAGGGACTGCCTATGATGGCGTTGCCGGCAGAGGGGGAGTAAATTGACGGATTTAGTACCAGTGGTGATAAAATTAGGGGGCAAAGGACTGTAGGTGCCAGAATGTTAGGCGATAGAAGAGTTGGTGACAAAATGACCGGTAACATACAAGCAGGTGATAGTATCAGTGGATTCATTATCAGAGGTGATAAAACCACTGGAGTTAAAGCTATTGGAGACAAAATCATTGGACTCATAAGACGGGGTGCAAGAATAATCGGAAAAAATAACCACGGGCTAAGTACGCCAACACCAAATATCGCTGGTGAAAAAACAATTAAACTTAATAAAATAGGTGAAAGTATAGCGGGATTTGAAACACCGGCCGGGTCGAATATGAAAGCACGAAGTAGCGTAGGAGATAGCACAACTGCTTGTCGCCTGTGGCGACTTTTAATCGTTTTTGGATCGACCTTCGACAGGTATCGAATATCATCAATCAAATGCTGATGTATCTGGCTCTCATCCAGAGACAAGAAGAACTTTAGTTTTTTTGGATCACTGAACGGCGATTTCGGTCCGTAAACCATTTTCCGCTGCTTAGGCGTCAACACAGAAAATCCAGTTGTATTAAGTTCTAGAAGCTGAAACAAAAAAAAAAAACTGAATAGCTTTGAATGTATACCGCTGCATTTTTATTTACTCAGAATCGCCCCCCCAAAACAACAAAAAAAAGAAGCATCTCTTATTTGATAACCCACTAAAAAATTGTATCTTGCGATTTCTTCCATCTGCTGCCTTCCCAAATCCTGAAAATGTGCCTAAACCCAGATTTTTGAAGCGAAATATTTGCTTTTAAAATGACTGATATTTTATAATTGACTACGAGACTTTTGGCCAAATCTTTTTGCACTTTTTATGATGAAATGCTTCCTCGCTTAACCACTCTTTTCATCGGAATCCGAGTATTCAAGCATTTGTAACACAAAACGCTGATTCCGCTTCGTCGATAAGCAAATTATTGAATAATTTGCGTACACACGCGCACGCACACACTCACACACACACTCACACACACACACACACACACACACACACATACACTCACTGTGATAACATCCTGAAGCGCGTGTTTTTCCGGCCGCTTGTTTCTTCGTCCTGTCCGACCTTCTGTGTCTGCAGAAAAAACCAAGTAGGATGAACAGTTGTTGTTTAGCCCATTGCAAAAAATGGTCTGAAGCAGCTATCGAAGGACGGTGATAAAACCTGTTTCTGAGTTAGTGTTCTAGAGAGCTGAGCAAAAATATCGAGTTGCCGGGCCTGTTCGGGGTCGATTTCGGTCAAATTGTCACGCGTTAAGTAAAGCGGCTGACCGTCCACACCACGTGGCATTGATGCAATTGCTGGTGGTAATGCTTCCTCCTCCTAAACAAAAAAATTTTACCAGACGGCAGGCGATGCCGCTAAATTCAGCTTATTAAACCGGATATGATCAGCATTTTGGCCTTATCATGCGTTTTTGCCTACATGCAAATTGCAACCCAGGCTGGAACGCACCAGGTGAGCCGATGCGATCATGCGTTTTTGCATCAAACTTTGAGGTACTCCATCAAATTTCCCTGCCTTTT